GGGAAATGGCGACTTATCACTTATTCATATGTAATTCCGTTCAGGACGAAATTAGTCTGAATTATACAGCGATCCGGTTAATCCGGGCGCTTTTTCCGGCGCTACAATTGCTGATCGAGTTAGTCCGGCTGATGCCTAATGGATTATGACGTTTTCGATTTGGCTTTGATACGAAAATCCGCGCGGAGGCCAATAAAAGCTGCGATGGATTTAATTAGATGAAGAGGGCCATCAGTTAGGCGAAGGAGTGCTGGATGTGTGCGGAATGGATTGAAAAGATCCGGGAAATTATAGTGCAAGACTATCAGGCCATGTAATTTACGTAATTAAACGATAATTAAAGCCCATTCTAATTAAAAGTACCGGATGAAAAGAGATACACAAAGTGCGACGAAGAAAGTTTAATTGGGGGGCCTTGTTTGTTTAGACAACTTCGATCCGCGTATTAACGAATTTGAGAACATCGGAGAGGCAAAACTCTTACGAGCTAAGCCATAATTGCTTGACTTTAACGAATTTACTTCAATTACGACGAATTGTCGGACGCCGAGGCACCTTTGAAGGTGTCTGCTGATGTTTGTCTTGCATTGATTTGTGAGCGAAGGCTCGGGAAAAGAAAACTTCAGAAAGAAAATAACTCTCATCAGGGTTACAAAATGACACCAAAAGGACTTATGTAATTTTGCATCATAACTAGAACACACTGAAAAATATCGCAGAGTTAATTCATTTAAAAATTGGGATGTCATTGATGTAAACGAGATTTACCTACAAGTGCCTATCACAATATTTTGAAAAGACGTAATCCGTTTTATGGGAGGGATGCACAAATAAATTAGTATGCATTTTACCAGCTTCATGAATAAGCGTCGACTTCATAAATGTGCGAGTCCTCGAAAAAAGAAATTGAAGACAACTGTACACATACGCATATGAACTGTCACAGAAAGAAAAAAAAATCATCCAACGCTACTGGGACCGAACTTCCCTAGACTCATAAGACATAATACCGTGTGATTTTTTTATTTGTGACGTAAATTGTACTTTGTTTTCATTTCCGCAAATTCCTTTCGCTTATTGTTTTTGAAATTTTCGACAAAAATTTATTTTAAAGTGAATAAAAACTATCCAGATGTGTTTTGGCACAGAAGCAAAAATAAAATTATTTCGTAAGACTTAAGAGGAAATCAGGAAGTCGCACATTAACTCTTGAAAATGTCCTGATAACATATGGATAATAACCCCTATACATAGATCACAAATCAAAAACATTGTTCCAAGGTTACTTCGACAGAACTTCCCTCGCCGTTAAAGTACAGTCCGACAAATCCCATTTCTTCGAAAAATATACAAAATTTTTGTTTTCTAATATATAGTAAAAACCAGTGGTGTAAATGTCACCTTGAACCCCATGCGCCAATGTAAAACATAATTAAATCACTTAACTAACAGGATAAAATGTCCTTCTGCACTAGGTAATAGCAATCTAAAGGGTTTATTTATGTTTATACATCGAAAGAATGTCACGTAGAACTTAGTTTTGTTTGAATGAGTTTGTGTTCTCTAAACAGAGGGTTAAAATTATTAATTAAACCACAATCGAACAAAATGTTATGAATCTTATAATTCCTATTTTATCACTGTTATATAAAGATGTACGTTTTCTCACATTTTCGAGAAAATGGTGTAACTCACTCGTTTTTAATTTGACCAATAACAAATTTGTGATGACGTCATCAACATGGATAATACCAGTCACAGCACCAAAGAAAAGTAGTCACAGCGCATTACCAGTGCAAGTCTGGCATCGAACCCACGACGGAATGTCGGCAGTTCACCGAGAAAACCGCTGAGCCACAGAGCCACGAGCTCATATATCTTGTAGTAATAATATAGCATTATTCTAACGTGCAATTGTTTTTGCGAAATTTGAACATTCAGCGAAAAAACTGAAAGCGGATTCGTAAGCTACAAGTATAGGAGTATATTTTTGTATAACATTCAACTCATTTTAAAATACGCTTCATAGAGATGAGGTCATCAAACTGTTCGTGAGGAGGATTAGTTAAACATTTAACCATTTATATGATATTTCTAACATACATAGTTTCGGAGAGTACGTATCTAATAAAAATGGATACACACATCACACAAACGGACAGACAGACGGAAACAGAAAACTACTTTTTTCGTACTATAGGGGTCATGAAACGTCGAGAAAACATAAAACTAACAATTCATCCGATTGATTCAATTATTATACTTCCTTAGCTTACGCTCGGGAAGTAAAAATCATCTGGTATTTTACTCATTTTAGCTCTGTTTATTCAGCAAAATTTTTAGATGATGTCATCAAGTTTTTGGGGGAATAAACAGACAATTTTTTATTAACGATATACCACGCTTCAGATAACCTTAAAACATTGACAACATTTCACATTCAGTTTTGCTGTTTTCTAAGCTAAATTGTAATATGTTTTTTTTTACAAAAATCTGAATGTCGAAAATAAAAAATCAAGACGGATTCATAAACCACACATATGTTGTTGTATTATATTAATGTATGTTATTTTATGAAATTTAAATAGTATTTGTAATGTAAAATTTTGAGATGACGTCAACAAATTCTTGATGGGGATGATTAGACATATTTTGGTTAGCATTTTATCATCTATACCGAAAATACGTAGGTATCCATAAAATTTCACAATAATCAGCCCAATACTTTCAGTGACTATTTGTCCAATGAATTAGACACAGTGGACAGACAGAAGGAAACGGAAGTCCTATTTTTTCATACTCTAGCAGTCAGAAACATCAAGAATATGACAATACCGCAAATAAACATTTTTAAAATCATCACGTCAATGTTTCTAGAATTAATAAATGGCCAAAAAGACACAGGTAAACCTACGAAAAGCAAAACTAAAAAATTTATCGTTTATTCATCTAATTAAAGAAACAATTTACCATTTGTACTTCACAATTATCAAACACGTAATCTAACTAAAACTAACCAAAATTTATCAATCGATCTTCTCAAATACAATGACAATACTTATTATTTCAAATTTTTTTTAAGTAAATTTGACCTGAGATTAAATTCGTGCTGAAATTCTTTAAATATTATACTTGAATACTGTAATTGCATTCATAACTTGAAGTTTTCGAGTTGAATTTACGTAACTACAAAATTAAAATTTGTAAAAAAAAAATTAAAATTGTAAAATTTGTGATCAGAGACTAATCAAGATATATAATTTACTAAGTACAGAACATTAAAAAGTGCTATCTATTCATCCCCTCCAAAAATTTGATGAAGTCTTTTGAACAAATTATTAAATAAAACATATATACCAGCATTATGTTCCAAAAAGCAATTTTGGTGTACGAACCGATTTAAAATTTCAGTTTTTCAAATTCGTCATTTGTGTTAATACAGAGAGGTTCATAATGATGTTACATTATATACCTACGCAAGTAATATATTGACACCCACCAACATCTCGAAAAAAAATGAGATGGATTTTTACTGTAAGATACAGTTTGACATTCAAGCAATATTGGTTGTGCTTTAGATTTTCGGTATAAAAAAACTATATTATATTATAACGCGAATTTCACATTTAATTTTAATAATGAATCCGTTTAGAGGTAGGTGCCTGTGACTTGAAATTTTTTTTTCGTTTATTGATGGCAATGTAACAATTTAGTTGACTTGAATAATAATTTATAATTACCTACGAATTTACACAATAAATTTGCTGCAGCATATTTAAGTTATTAACATTCTAGCAACACTGTCTGTGGACCCAAAACTTTTCGATATAAACATTACTTAAATATGAAAAAAATAAATCTGATGACTTTTCAATCCACCCATAATATTTTACACAACGAAACTGGAGGCTAAATAATATATGATTTCACCACACTGTGTTCCTACAACCCCATCACTTATGTTTTTAAATTACTAGCTTAAAAGTAAAATTCTGCTTATTTAGCCAATTCTAAAAATATTTTGACAACTATTAGTAATTATACATTATGTCATGTTAGCGCGTTAAAGCTTTAATTATATGTTTAATGTAAACATTAAATTAAGTCAATCTGTTTGGCGTAATAACACCAATAACCACCACCCACATTATTAAAATCAAACATGAATAACATAAACCGCGTTACAAGATTTTCCCCAGTATCTGTTATTCACGAAACAAAAAAATATTAAGAAACCCACACCACTTGAGTTCTCTTTTTCCTCCACAGGTGAGAGCCCAAATCAAATTTCCCGAACGTTTTCTTTCAGAATTCTGTCATTGTGAATATCTCATGTAATGCTTTTTGCTTTTATCCGTTTATCCTGATCCGACAAACAAAAATAATTAGGTGATTCGTTCCGAATAAAGAAATAAAAAGGAAAAATATAATAATCAAATTTAGGGGATTTTTAGGATCCGCTATTCAACATTAATTTTGTTTTTTCCGACTTTAGTGACTGTGACTTGAGACGAGTATTCCTTGACGGTTTCGTTATTTTTTAATCTAGAAAATTGATATCAAGGAATGACAAACAGAAAGCTTTTTTAACGTGTAGCAAAAAAGAAAAATATGCCGAGTACGCGTTATCCTGTCAAGGACGAAGGAATTTTATTTATACATAAAACTTGCTTTAACTGTACGAAGAAAGTGAATGGGCGAATTGCCACAAGAATAAAACATCGAGATGAAAAGAACACAAAATGTAGGTGTTTTCAATGTCTTAATTCATTTTCCTCCGTTGATTCCCGCATTATAATCAATTTTAACATAATGCCGATTAAGACTGCCGGTTGAATACAAACAAAGACCTCATCCCAGTTCTTTGTAACCGAAAACAGTAACTTAATCTTATTACGAAGAAAACGCGGAAAACGTAGTCCCAAAAATTTTGCGCTGAAAGCGGTGTCTACTTTTATTCACACTTCATTTTCAGTTGCAGCGAAAACACCTAACTCTACCTTGTCAAACGAATCCTTTATCCTGAAAAACACAGTCACGTTTCAGTACTTCGAGCACCGAACTATCAAGCACCAAATGTCACACTTGTAAAACCTGCGAGAACGCACTATTTTCAGTTGCGAGTTGTTCAGGATTGGTTCGAAGTCAGTTTTTGGACACGTTTTATTCGCGAGCGTTGCTCAGTTTGGCCGTCTATCCACGTATACGGTTATCTACAGACTGAACAGGACGAGTCCGCAGCAGCCCTTTTGATAGCGAGTTTCAACCCCACCCCTTATCATTCTCTTCTCTGCTGAGCATACGGGCTAATATTTCTCCAAACATTGCGCATACCCAATTTTCCTCGATAAATACAATTATTCGCTAAGTAGTGCATCCGACACTGCCTCGGAATGAGTAATTATTAAGAAGTCGGGAGGAGTGGGTGGCGAAATTTACATACTTATTTATTTATAGTGTGTGGAAATTTAATTAGGCGGAAAATAAGTAAGTAACGTGCCATAAAAAAGGAATCTGTTGCACCTGAATTTATAAAATCAATACTTGCGTTCCGATTTTTTTTTTTAATTAAAATATATTGAAAATGGAAATAATCTGCGAGTTAAAATTACAAATAAAAATATACCAAAGTAATAAGTTTTTTAAAAATGTTGTTTTTTCGTTATTTATTTATTTGGTTTTGTTTAAAAATCGCTTTTAAATAGAGAGACATTTACGCAAGCGTGATTCTTTCCAATTTTTGAATGTTAAATATTTGAACTGAAAAAGCGATAATGGGTAGTTACGGGACAATTGTTTGAAATCAAAGAAATCCCTTATAGTGCATTCATATAAGCCTAAGTTATCACGATTGACATTATCAGATAATAATTGGAAATGTCAAATATTATTGCTTCTGCTAGAGAGCTCGTTTGAACTGGGTTCACTATAATTTTATAAGAATATGAAAAATCTGAGTGCATGTTGACGGAACAAATAAAAAATAAAAATTAAACTACAGTTATTATTATTATTATTATTATGCTGAGCGACTCTACAGACCCGTGCCGCGGGCGTAAAATCACGAAAAAGCCCGTGCGCTTGTCGGGCTTAAGAGTACGCAATCTGCTTCTATAAGTACCGTGTCCGGCCTAAGAGCAGTTCGTCTTTACAGGGGGAAATTGCCGTCGTATCCTCGAAAAGATTTCACCAAATTCGGGCTTAAGCTCCCGACAAACAGATGGGGACTCTATGCATTTTGGGAAAAGAAATTCAACTGATTTCTAAATGAAAAATTACTGGCTGCATAACTCAATGCTTCAATTTTGCCGAACGGAAAACTTTTTCGAATCCATAATTCAGAGCAACACTGCTAAGGCTTGTGAATCAATCAAACACTTCTTATACCCGAAACATGGATAAGAGAATTTTTGAGGTTAGAACTGCACATTTACCTTAATTTATTCTCCTGTTAAACCAAGGTGTGCAACTTTCATAAATTCAAAAATAGTACATAAGCGAGAAACATTTTTCCAAAAATACGGAACTGTTACTTAAAAAACATCATTTTTAACGAATACAATTTACTATTCAAAAAACTTATATTTGTTTATAAATTGATTTTTTTGTTAGTTTCATTTTTCTCCAGTAATTAATTTTTCACTCACATTGTTACTGTCAAAATCATTTATGATTTAATTTACTTTGGGTTCAGCGAACAATGTTTTTATAGATAAACTTGATTTCTTCTTTTGACTTTTGAAGTTAATATAAATGGAAACCTATTTTTTAGCTTTTCAGTTAAATGATTGTTTCGACAAATTCTAAAATAGTAAATATACGTATAATTGTAACAAGAACGTACTAACTAGAATAATTTATTAGAAACTAATAAATGAAATATTCTCAATTCACACATATTAGTGGCTACATTTTTTGTATTTTTTGAATATTACTTCGATGATTCACCACTCAAGATGCTGCTTCAAAAATTTTATTAAACAGGAAATAAATTGCAGTCATTATAATTATTTAAACTTTAAATACAACTCATATCGTGGGTCCGTTATCCTTTTCATATATATCCCATCATCAAAAACAATACAACAAGAAAAATAAACCAAGAAGCTGTTTTGGGAATACGCTTGTCGGAGAGGAGTACATTTACAGTATGCTGTTAAATTGGAGAATACATGATTTAAAAACAGTACAAAACTCTAAAAACTACTACTAGATTTGGTCATCTTATCTAAAAGAAGTTTCTTAGGCCCGAAAGCATGGATAACGTCAAAAATTTTGTGATAAGATTATTTAAGAGTTTTTGTTTGGTTTTGTCAAAATGATTTTAAAATCTTGCTAAAAACAATGCGAAACTTAATTTCCCTACTTTCGTTTATTGATTCTCGAGTTAATCAAATGTTCTGAATTTAAGAAGAATATTTCCCTAAACGCGATTTGTTTTTACCAAAATTACCAGGGTTCAAATCGAATTCTCGTTAATTAAAAAGTATGTGGAATAAATACGTAAATTTGAAAAACAGTTTCCTTTATTTTGCAATAAATGTTTTCTAACAAACTGTTCAACTAAAAAGCACAATAAGATTTTGACTTCAAGGGCAAAATTTAATATTCGTCCCTAAAAAGAAGCGCGATATTTTGTTAAGTAATAAATTACACATCAAAAATGGAAACGTATCATTACGTGCTTATCCCCGAAACGCCTCTAAGAGAAGTCTCTTAGGCGCGAAGGCAGAGATAAAGTCAAAAATTTGGAGGTTAAGTTATTAGAATTCACGTTTGGTATTACCAAAAAGGTGTTGCAATTTCGCATTCATGTTACAAACTGTAATACGAAACTTAAATTGCAGATTTTACGTTCACTTATTCTCAAGTTAACTGCACGTTTTGAAATTAAAGAAGTATTTTTTTCCATATGACATGTTCCGTCATTACCAAAATTTTAATAGTTAACTCAACAAAATTAATTTTTCTGAATATCCTACCACTTTCTAGAATGGATGCGTAAATTTCAGACACTGTTTTCGTTGTTTTGTGACAAATTTTTGTAATGAATCATAAAAATTAAATTTTCAGTAAGAACTTGACTTCCAAAGCAAAATATAATATTCATTCCTAAAAGGAAGCGGAATATTTTGTTATGTAATAATCATTTATGCATCAAAGATAAAATCGTATCATGACGTGCTTATCCCCGAAACGCCTCTAAGAGAAGTCTCTTAGGCCCGAAATCAGAGATAAAGTCAAAAATTTGGAGGTTATGTTATTAGAATTCTCGTTTGGTTTTACCAAAAAAGTGTTGCAATTTTGCATTCCTATTACAAACTGTAATGCGAAACTTAAGTTGCAGATTTTACGTTTACTTATTCTCAAGTAAACTGCACGTTTAGAAATTAAACAAGCATTTTTTTCCATATGACGTATTTCGTCATTACCAAAATTTTTATAGTTCACTGAACAAACTGAATTTTTCTGAATATACAAATTTCTAGAATAGATACGTTAATTTTAGAAGCCGCTTTGGTTGTTTTGTAACAAATTTTTTGTGATGAATCATAAAAGTAAAATTTTCAGTAAGAACATGACTTCCAAAGCAAAATTGAATATTCATCCCTAAAAGAAAGCGGAATATGTATTTTGTTAAGTATTAATTATTTATGCATCAAAGATGGAATCGTATCATAACGTGCTTATCCCCGTAACAACACTAAGAGAAGTCTCTTAGGCCCGAAAGCAGAGATAAAGTCAAAAATTTGGAGGTTATGTTATCAGTATTCTTGTTTGGTATTACCAAAAAGGTGTTGCAATTTCGTTCATGTTACAAACTGTAATACGAAACTTAAATTGCAGATTTTACGGTCACTTATTCTCAAGTTAACTGCACGTTTTGAAATTAAAGAAGTATTTTTTTCCATATGACATGTTCCGTCATTACGAAAATTTTAATAGTTAACTCAACAAAATGAATTTTTCTGAATATCCTACCACTTTCTAGAAGGGATGCCTAAATTTCAGACACTGTTTTCGTTGTTTTGTGACAAATTTTTGTAATGAATCATAAAAATTAAATTTTCAGTAAGAACTTGACTTCCAAAGCAAAATATAATATTCATTCCTAAAAGGAAGCGGAATATTTTGTTATGTAATAATCATTTATGCATCAAAGATAAAATCGTATCATGACGTGCTTATCCCCGAAACGCCTCTAAGAGAAGTCTCTTAGGCCCGAAATCGGAGATAAAGTCAAAAATTTGGAGGTTATGTTATTAGAATTCTCGTTTGGTTTTACCAAAAAGGTGTTGCAATTTTGCATTCATATTACAAACTGTAATGCGAAACTTAAGTTGCAGATTTTACGTTTACTTATTCTCAAGTAAACTGCACGTTTAGAAATTAAACAAGCATTTTTTTCCATATGACGTATTTCGTCATTACCAAAATTTTTATAGTTCACTGAACAAACTGAATTTTTCTGAATATACAAATTTCTAGAATAGATACGTTAATTTTAGAAGCCGCTTTGGTTGTTTTGTAACAAATTTTTTGTGATGAATCATAAAAGTAAAATTTTCAGTAAGAACATGACTTCCAAAGCAAAATTGAATATTCATCCCTAAAAGAAAGCGGAATATGTATTTTGTTAAGTATTAATTATTTATGCATCAAAGATGGAATCGTATCATAACGTGCTTATCCCCGTAACAACACTAAGAGAAGTCTCTTAGGCCCGAAAGCAGAGATAAAGTCAAAAATTTGGAGGTTATGTTATCAGTATTCTTGTTTGGTATTACCAAAAAGGTGTTGCAATTTCGCATTCATGTTACAAACTGTAATACGAAACTTAAATTGCAGATTTTACGGTCACTTATTCTCAAGTTAACTGCACGTTTTGAAATTAAAGAAGTATTTTTTTCCATATGACATGTTCCGTCATTACGAAAATTTTAATAGTTAACTCAACAAAATGAATTTTTCTGAATATCCTACCACTTTCTAGAATGGATGCGTAAATTTCAGACACTGTTTTCGTTGTTTTGTGACAAATTTTTGTAATGAATCATAAAAATTAAATTTTCAGTAAGAACTTGACTTCCAAAGCAAAATATAATATTCATTCCTAAAAGGAAGCGGAATATTTTGTTATGTAATAATCATTTATGCATCAAAGATAAAATCGTATCATGACGTGCTTATCCCCGAAACGC